ACCCTCTACCTGTATATTATCATTACCTCATTGACTTTAACTACATCTGCTGTGGTGGCGGTGATAGACAGGCCCTCGTGGCTCCGTCGACACACTTTGTTTGAATTTTGTCACATACGCAGACACGCTTCAGGCTTTTTACACAGGCGCATCTAATCACCTTCCAACCACCCGAGCATACGCAAGGGGGTGGCAAACTGGTTGTGCAGCGGGGAAACCATGATTTAGAGTGCAAATTGCTTAATCACCAGTTGTGATAATTGTAATTGATGACTGCATAATTGCTAATTGCGCTCTGTATGGGAAGCTCTCTTTTGGCTGCTCTGCCTCTCCATTGTAGAGTCTGTTCAGTCGTTTATTTCTGGAGCACGTGTCTCTTTGTTTACACGGGGCAGTCACTGGGATGCTTGAGCCAGTGGAGGATTATTTGGTAAATGTGTTTTTACTTGTGATAGATGAGAAGACGCCGGCTGCTTGTCTGTTACATGTATGTTATATATACAAATGAAACGTGGAAAATGTGTGCATTGTTTCAAAGTTCATTTATTTCTGTAATTCGACTATTTATGGTATGGTTTCAGTATGCAAAGAGATATATTCCAAGCCTTTGTTTGTTATATTGTTGACGATTATGGTTTTCAATTTGTTTTCAAAATATTCAAGCTCAATTTTGGTAGATTGTGATTATTGAGACCTAAAAGACATCAATATTGTGGTAGTTACAGATCAAGGGGATGAAGAGGTTTTAAACTCATGGTTCCTCATCCTGTGTGAAAATTTGTCAATCAAAAATAAAAAATTTCTTGATGCGATTGCCGTCATTTCCGGACTACAAACCTCAACTTTTTCTAGTTCTTTGAAACCTGCAGCTTATAGTTAATTGTTATTGTGGTAAAGTTGTCAGAGCAGAGTTTATGAACTTGTTATTTTGATTCCATCAAGTTTTAGTAGCTGCAGGACACTTGTGTAATGTCACAATAGACAGGTGAAGGATTACATGGGAGCTTAAATCATGTTGTGACTAGTACTACATGAACACCTGCAGCTTATATTCAGGCGTATACTATATGAGAGCAGCATTTCTTTAATTCTCAAATGTAGGTGGTGTGGCTTTTATACAGGTGAGCCTTATAGTCCAGACAGTATGGTAGATGAATAGAACAGTGGAACCACATTGAGCTTACTCCATCAACAGTCTAGTGTCTTTTACCACTCTCTAATGCCGCTTGTTAGCTCGTGCCTATGGGCGCAGTGTTTCTTATGAAGAGGTATAGATGTGGCTCGGTCTCCTCTGACTCTGCTGCGGGCGTCTTTCTCGTTCTTAGCCTGTTCTTTTATCACAAAACACCTCCAGACCAAAATCTGCCTTTAACAACCAGTACTGTACGGATGGTGGGAAGACGTAGAGATAGTGGGAGTGCAGATAACAAACTACGGCCCAGTTTACAGACTATAGGGATATATAACTATCTGATGTTTTTGGTCATATTGTCACACGGTACACAGTGGTCCCTCACCTTTCACTGCCTCGCTGTTCCGCAGATTGACTGGAAATGTGTGTGTATGATGTTTTTTTTACTCTCATGCGCTGTGTGTATACTCCAACAATCATATAACCGCTAGTATAACATGACAATGACCTTTATTTAAAGTCAGAAGCTCGTGTGCAACGTCTGGGTACAGTCACAAATTACAATTGCTATGGCCATGTCTACTCACTCCACATGGTGAAGCAGGTCGCCATACTGAAGGCACTGCAGAACCTTTAGTATGTTTTTAGTGGTAGGAAACCACAGGGAGAACATACAAACTGCGGTTTAAAGCTAATTCTTCTCTAATCCCTGGGCCAATCCACATGAAGCTACAATGTTCACTAAATTCCACATAATCCTATCAGCACACATCAACTATGGTCTTGTTATTGTCTCATAAAAGTGTCTGGAAGTGGTGACAATATTCAAAACATATGCATGATGTTGGCCAGTAGAAAGGACTTTCAGACATAGGAATAATATGGCAGGTCTGTAAATCCAATCACAGTCAAATAATGATTAGGGAAAATGTTTTGACTCAATCTTTTTCGACATGTCTTTCAAAAATGGCTTCTTTCGTAATGGGTTGTATTGGCACCTGCTCTCCAACTGAAGTAGATTTCTCAAACAACCTATTAGGCTGATGCAGCGAGTAAGACAACATTGGTATAACTCAAGTCTTGCATCTCTCACCATTCCCACTATTGCATCTGTATTGATCGTGGCTCGAGCCTTTTCCATTTTCTCCAAACTTCCTGTGTGCGACTGATGCTGGCTTCGCTTGATCTTTATGATATTTCTTTAAACATGATGCTGTCGTTATGCCTCCCCGGGGACCCAAGCCAACCGTTTTCAGTAAATCTAAAGTCCCTCCCCTCGCTGTTCTCTCTCTTTCTTATTTATAACACCACTAAACAGCCACCGCTCCCACATACGCGCCTTCATTCTCGTAAGCGTTTTCAGCCCGGGACTAATAAATGCTTTTCGAGAGAAGTCGTAGCTGTGAGGCGTGGGACAGCTCGGGCTATATAACACACTTTCTCCTTCCATCGTTCAATAGCAAAAAATATAATATTCTTGCTCATATTAACTGCTTTAGTGCTAGTTTAGGCCTGGTTTTATTCTGATTCATGCTCATAGTAAAAAGTAGTTTCGTTATAGCTAGTGGTTTTAACACACAAGCATAGTATAGTCCTGTCCCTTGACGATATAGACAACGTGGATTTACCAAGTCCTAGTGTCACCCCTAGTTTTTGCCGAATGAAGCTGCCTGTGCCAGTATTTCCGATGGTATTAGCTTTGCGTTGGACCAGGGTTAAACGTGTTGCAAAGATCTTTGCTAAGGTGAACTGGAGTTTCCCCCACAAATGAAGGCACCTAATGGGTCAATCCTTATGGCTCATATCTGGATTTACAATGATAACATCAACATGTACTGTAAACACCAGGATCATAGGCAGTGTTAAACCATGGACGATTAGGCCCAAAATGGTGTCACACAAATGGTTACTGAGTTTATTTTTCAACGTACGTCCATTGGATTCAGAACTAATTGGAGAAAAACTTTGTCTTTGAGCACTTCCCTATTGAGCTTCATTGAGCTAGGGTTAGCACTGTCCCCCTATAAACAGTCCATGGTCCAGTTCTGTAATAGTTTGACGTGATTTGACAAGATTTTGGATGGGGAAATGGTAAACATGAGAAGGCTTGGAGTAAAATAGCTGAGAATTTGATATAAATTCATATTTCAAAGCATTATATGATGTAAATATTTGAAAAATGTCATTTATCATCATCCACAAATATAACATCTGTGTCAATTGTGTCATATCTCTTACCAGTTGCGAGTGATTTTGGATTGCAGCTTACTCTACCCAGTGAACTTCAAAATTATTTTTGGGATACGGCAAATACACACAAGAGAAAAACTTTCCTCTATCGTTGCCTGTTGGAAGATTCCTAATAAATGGCCTGGTTCTCATTTCTGATCACTATAAATAATGTGCAATACTTTGAACTGACCGTGTCTATGTATTCACAGTATTGCATCAAGCCCATTATTCAACTGCGTGTACTTCCATGTAAACTGGACTCCCCATTGACAGTAGATGATGCCAATTTGAACGCGGTCTGCTGTCCTTATGGGGGGTCTATGGTCTGTGGTGATCAGCAGAGGGCGCTGGTGGGGGGTCCTCGCTGGCCTCCACTAACCCACATAACCACTAGTGCAGGTGGGACCAGGTGGCAGCTAATTCGTTTCCTTTGTCCCTCATAATGAATCGTTAATTGGTTTGCGTCACCCGCCGAGCTGAGCGTGGAAGGAGGGCCCTGTTACTGCCGTCTTTTCCACACACCTGCATTTATACGAGGCCAAATGTCACCGCCGCACGCCTGTCCGTCAGCAAGAAGACTGCAAATTATGCCCATTTACATAAAGTTTATACCAAGTAATGATTTAATATGAAGTCGTGGTTTTATTTCTATTTCTGGGTACCCGACTTTCAAATCCTAAAAATGAGATTATGTAGTCAAATCTATAATCTAGTTCCTTTCTCTCAAAACAGTTTTTACATGCATTTATTTGATTTTTTTGGCCTCTGTCATCTGTTTGGATTATATTTTTTCACACAAAAAAGGGAAAAAGAGAGAACCACCCTCACTCACGCATACACAAGGAAACATAAGAAGCAGACACAAGAGTCTTTCTGTTGAGAGTTGAGACTAACACAATATGTTATTTATGAAGCAAAAAAAGTTACGTGCTTTCAAAACCAAATGTTTCTTAAAGCTAGGATCCCTGATTACTCAACTCCAATAAAAGTTATCACTAATTTTAGAATGAGTTCCATGCTCTTACGAAGTTCTCAGCCCTGTCATATTGTGACTCAAAGGGCTCTTTCATCCAAGTTTGCCATCGTTAAATGTTTTTCATTAGTATAGTTGGTAGTTTTTATTCCTTGACGATGCAAAAGGGTCTAAGGGCGGTCTTGATGATCCAGGACACTCGACATTCAACAACATATGATGGGCATTAATCAACATTTATCAACATTGGTCCTCTTCCCGTTATGGGCCAATGGCTCCATGTGTTTTTATCATTGCATTTCTTGAGTTTGAACTGTTTGCTTCTTTGATCTGTGTTAGCGATTTAGGGATGTGTACTTGCATTGAACTATTCAAATACTGTTTCTGCTGTTTGTTAGGCCTATCCCACCCCTTGGCTCAAAGCTTTTACGTTTCCCTGAGTGTGTGCCCCTTTAAATAGACCTTTAGTGTTCTCATTTGGCTATCAAGGGATTTGCCTGTTACCTATTGAATTATATTTGTATGCTCAACCAAAACCGCCCGTTCCTCTCTTGTGAATGTGATCCTGAACATATACTTCTTGTCATCCCTGATTCGGTTTGCATGTCATGAACATAATGGGTCTGTTGTAAGTGTTGAACGTGTCTGTCTGTTCCTCTGCAGGTGGTTGCTCTGAACAAGCGCAGTAAAGAGGCAGAGTCTGCCTTCCTGGGGATCTACAAGCAGCTGATCGAGGCTCCAGGTCAGTCCAACAGCTTAGATTAGATTAAACTTTCTTATTTCCTATAAGATTCTTTATAATATATCAAATATCCAAACTTTTCAATGGTTTTGGTTACAATAAAATCAACAACTTTTGGTATCAGTAGAAGCTTTCTTCCCTCATTCTGGTGCTTGTTCAAACGAACCTTGCTTTATATCCTTGTGCCTGTTTGGACAGATCTGCCCAGATGCATTGCATGGATTTTACAGTTGTGTTGGTTGTTTCAGCTATTTCAATGTAATTGTCGCAATTCAATATATTGTCAAATTAATGTTTATGACACACAAACAAACTCTGTCTGTCCAAATAGTATTATAATCTATTATAACAAATAATTTTAATATTAAATAATAATCATAAATATTAATTACTTTATAAAATAATAATAAAATTATTAAAAAAACATTAGTATTATCATTTTTATTATTATTTATTATGTATTTAAAATATATATATATATCTACATCTGTACAAAAAAAAAAAGTTTTGGTTCAAATCGGCCTACATTATTTGCTTCTCTCACTGTGAACAGTTACACATACTCAAGGCTTGCAAAAGTCATCACACACGACTATTCTAGACCGATGTGTTTTACATTACATTGGTCTTTTAGAGTGTTTTTCTCTGTCAAAAGTTCCCCACATAATCCTCTCTCAACAGTGACACCTATACCTCCTCTGTATCCTTGCAACATCACACAACATCTACGAGCCATCAGCAACACATGAGGCAACATCGAGCACTGAAAAAGTCATTTCTCTCCATAGATAGAAAATACATATAAAGCCCCATACCCCACGGCGCTTATCTATTTTTCAAAGTCGGTGCCTGTGAGTGGTTTCCAAAACTCGGCATGCGGCCACTTCAAACCGGCGCCTTGGTCCTTGAGTGGTGCCTGGCGGAGGGGCTGAGGAGCAGGGCACATGCAGGATCCTGGATGTTGATTGTGGAGGGCCAATTAAAATCCCTACTGAAGTCGGAGAGCTCCTTGCACAAGGCGGGACTGATGAGGCCAATGGGGAAACACGCAGAGGGGCAACATGCCTTCAAAAGACCAAAGACACATAGAAGTAAAGTTACATCAAGTAGGAAGGTGCGAGGTTACGGCAAAACTAGACTCCACTTGGGAAAGTACTGCGATGAGGTAAAAATTAGATGTGCTGTGAATAATGCTGATTTTGCTCAGTCTGGTAAATGTTGAGTCAAAAATATCAACTTGTAAGCCCAATATAATAGCCTTCTTTACTCAAGGTCTGTAGTTGTGAAATGTATGCTAGATATAAACTAAACTACATCTTAAATGGGACAGACTTTCAAAGATTCCTAAAGTTTGGCTAACATTTGGTAAAACTAAGAAATATGTGTATCACCGTCAAATGAGTTTTACTTTGAGACTGGATTAGAGTGAGATGTTTAGGCTATTAAAGCTGGGTTGGCAAACTATTTTTTGTTTAATAAATTATAACCTTGTTTGTCAAATTGTGGTGATTGCTATCAAGAATATGTACTCAAAATACCAACGCTTTTAAGACAATATTTTGAAATGGATGGTCGAAGTTAGCTAAAAGTTAGAGCTGGAGTTCCAAGCTTGAAAACACAAAAATTAACTATGTGAAAAAAAAGTTTTGGTTTCACGTCCTTAGATCAATAAGTATGGAGGTGTATCGGCCGTCACGGAGCCAACCATCTCTCAGTATGTAAAAATGTATGTCTCGTTATGACACTAAAGGCAGACTGACACTTATGATAGATAGATATGTAGATAGATACTTTATTGAACCCTGTAGGAGAAATTCAGGTGTCCAGCAGCAGAAACACATTCAAAACAAGCAAACAAATAAATACATACTTCTAAAAGTGACTGAGAATAGTAATAAAGTGCATCATCACAGAGGTGGTGTAGCAGCTGGGTGGAGCAGGACAGGCCACAGCAGCAGAGGTGGAACATGAATAATAATAAAACACAGAATAATGCATTCAATATTGAATTTTAAAAATGTATACAGACTCTTACTGGTGAGACAAACAAAAACGTGAAACTATCAACTGTTAAACTAAACTTTGTGTATAATTATTATTTTCAAGATAGAGTTTTTATACGTATTATAGATGCTAGAGTTAGAGATTTTGTTTTATTTTAATTAGGACAGCTACTGTTCAGGTAACGTGTGCCGTGTGCTCCTCCTTCCTACTGTTCTATTACTTGTGGTGCAACACTGAAATTTCCCCACTGTGGGACAAATAAAGGATCTCTTAATCTTAAACACAAATATCTCTTGTGTTGGAACATTCTCATCTTCTTAGTAGATCAAGTTTTTGGTTCTTCTAAACCAGACAATTCTAAGATAGAGTTGTTATTATTTCATCAATTGTCTTGTATTGAACAACCAGTAAGTAAGTGAGTATGTAATCTTTATTTATAACCAGAAATAACTTCACAAATGTCTTTATATTGTAAACCCAAAAGCTGCAAACTCATCTCACATTATACCAACATACTCCCATACATACATATTGATACTTGTTTAGGGACCTATGCACTGTATAGCCTGGCATTGCAGCAACTGGGCCCAATCTGTGTGTAGATCAGAGGGGCACTTGTGGCAGGAGTAGCGAGCGCTGTTTACAGATTCAATGAATACAAGATAAAAGTGCGCGTCTGAGCAACCGCCACGCTGCTACTGACTTTTAAAGGTCCCCATTTTTCCTTGAAGTCCCGCGCTTGATATAGCAGCTCAGCGCACACACACAAACACGTACTTTGAATGCCGTTATTTCCTTGATAAGAAATACCCATGCAGGCTTGAAGATGTTTGATTCTTCTGACCTACGCCTTTCATACCGAGGCCTCCATTCAGATTCGGCATCTCTCAGGGATAGTTTGTCACGGACGATGCTGCGTTGAAGAGTTTTGTTGTTCGGAAATAAAAAGCGGTAATGGCAGAAGAAAAGAAGGTGCCAGACAGCGTCAAGGTGGAGATGAAAAAGCACTGTTTTGAGTCTTTTGTTGAGGCGACACACTTTTCATGAGTGTCTGTTGTGCTGTTGTCGTGGAATAACCTCAAGTCAGGCCAGTGGAACTTTGCTGCCAGTCTGTTTGTTTTGGATGGAATAAATTAGGAAAAAAACAATCGCACTTCTACGAAAGCTTTTTTTGGCCAACATTGAGGAGAGTGTCTTTGCTTGTGCGATTGTATGGATGGGTGAAGAGGTCCTTTCTCAAATAGAGTTCAAGTCTCTCAGGGATCTTGTTCTTAGTCTTTTTGTAAAACTGTTTTCAAACTTGAAAGTTTTAAGGATATGTTTATACTAGGGCTGTCCAAAATAGCGCGTTATTAACGCGTTAACGCAAATCAATATTAACGCCGTCATTTTTTTTATCGCGCAATAAAAAAAAAAATAAAAAAAAAAAAAAAGTTTTTTTTTTTTACTTTTTATTGCAGACAAACACATAGAAACAAAGAAAAGGACTAGTTCAGATACATTGTAGACAGAGATTACAAACAATATGTAGTTGGAGATACAGGGGGCCAAAGACGAAACCCAGAAGGGCACATAGGAGGGGAGGGGGGGGGGGGGGGGGGGGGACATGAAGTGGGAGATGGGGGGAGGGGTTAATAAAAAAGGCAATACAAGCAAACAGTATACAGTCATAGATATACCAAAGGTAAACAGAGAAACAGCATAGAGTATTTACATTAACAAATTTACAAAATATTTACAGATTGTTTATCATCATCATAATGACACCATGATGTTTCTATACAGTCTATGGTCTATACCCACACATACACACACACACCCACACACACACATTGAAGGGGCTTTTTGTTACCAATTATTTATTTTGTCATCCATTTATTGATGATTTTGCATCAAATGTTAGTGTGTAATATAACACTACACATTGTTTTCAATAAAAAAAGCAATTGCACACAGCACGCAAATGTGTGACTAATTTGCGATTAATCGCGAGTTAACTATGAAATTCATGCGATTAATCGCGATTAAATATTTTAATCGTTGGACAGCACTAGTTTATACCAATGCAAAATGTAACAAGTAGGGTCATAAGTGGTGTACTTCTCTATCTTTTCCTTCAGATCACAGAGTTTGTTCATGTAGCAGGTTCTCTGTCGTTTCGGCGAAAATGGAGATAAAACTAGAGTGGCCCCGTGGAAACCCTCATTCGTCCCACTGCGGGGAAATTTCAGTGTTGCATCAGCAGTTACAGAACAGTAGGAATGAGATAAATGAACACGAACTCTATACAGAATCAAGTAAAATCTCTAGCTCTAGCATGACAAAGAAAAGTATAAAATCTTTGTTTGGCATAATGAGGTCAAAAACTCTGACTTTAGCATAATAAAGAAGTATAAAATCTCTACCTTAGGCATAAACCTTTGGCATTACATTACTCTCTACATTATCTGTGAAACCCCATTTATACTGAACAACAATATTACAACATAACATCTGTTGACAATTGAGCTTGTAAGTTGACCAGGCAGAAATCCATTTTCTCTGGCCATGTTGCAGAGATGATGAATGATTACCCAAAACCGCCATTTTTTTACACCCATTGTTAGTGGTTGTGTGATGCTATTTAATGTCAAATAAATGTGTTTTCTATTTTCAAACTTTAATAGATAGATAGATACTTTATTGATCCCCCGTAGGAGAAATTCAGGTGTCCAGTAGCAGCAGAAACACATATATAGATCATTCTAAAAGTAGCTAGCAATGAAAGTAGCTAACAATAGTATTAAAATGCAACAGTGCTTTAGGTCACAGCGGCACAGGTGGTGTAGCCGCTTGGTTCGGACCATTTATTCTGCTCTAGTCCAAAGTGAAATGCTGACTGCTTTATCAGCATTTTTTAGCATGGCAACAGAAACTTCATTTCTTACCCAGGAGTCTCCGTCCCCCAGTTCTCAATAGCGGATATTTCTCCTTTAACATCAGCTTGGAGTGGTGGT